AGAGGGCCCAGGACTGTTTACAAGCAGAGCCCAAGCCAACAAATGCAGGAAAAGAATATGTGGGGGCCCTGGCGAAGCCTCTGCCCGGTAGCTGGACTCTCCAGTTTGTCTGAGCTTCACTTTTCCCCCTATGTGACAAATAGAAAGCGAGTAGCCAGGAAGACCTCGATGGGCCTAGTTCCCCAGCCAGACCAGTGGTCAGATGTCACACCCTGTAGTGACAGACCCCAAACTCATGGGAATTAATGCGCAGAGCCTTGTTTTACACCAAAAGAGAAGCGAGGCACAAGAGGGCCGGTGTCTCCCTCACGTACCCACAGCAGGTCAGGGCCGAGGAATGCGCATGGTTCAGAGTTGCTCCTCCAACACGAGCAGGTTTGGACATTTCCCTCTGGATATGGATTTTGGGTGAAGAAGATACAGGGGTGACACTCCAAATTAAATGTGCAGCACTCACGAGATTGCTCCTGAAAACTGTGCCTTCAGCATGGATTGCCATGTACAATTAAAATCTCACTAAACATTTGTCATGCTCCTGAGACACTTTTATGTGGAGTGGCTGCAAATTTTATTGCTTCCTGTGTCTCCTTCTAAGTGTACTTTGCTCTTTGTATCTTGTTAATAAAAATAAAATGCAAAAGAAAAAAAGATGGTTCTTGACAGGGTAAAAAAAATACATCTAAGATCTGTCAGTTTGGGTTGGGATCCCCATTAGGAATCCACCACTGAGTCTGCAGTGACACAGACTTCCTGCCTTTGAAGGGCACAAGGCAAATGCACCTGACTTTGTGGAAATACAAATATTTGCACGTTCAGAACTCCTCAGAATGTTCAAAGGAATTTCTATACCGCAGAGGAGGTATTATTTCTATGTTTAATGTCCTTACTTTATATTCCAACAGTACTAACAAAAACCACATCACAGCAGCAGGGTAGGATGCCAGCTCATGGCTGTTTGTTTCTCGGAGACTTGCAAAGCACAGAAGCGTGTGTGAGTGAAGCAAAACTGTCCTTCTAGCAACAAAGATGTGGGAGTGACGACTCCGGCAGTGGTGCCTGTGTGTGTGTGTGTGTGCGCGCGCGCAGCTGGGAGCTCCTTAGCCTTGCTGTGTAGATGTGGCGTGGCCCGTAGCTTGGGACCCCAGGGACAAGGGTGCTGTGAACTGTCCAAGGACAGGCCTCCCACATGAAACACAATTTCATATACATTTTCAGAAGAAAAAAAAAATTCAGAAAGCATAAGGAGCAATGATCCATAGAGACCAGAAAGGAAGTAACTTAAAGTGACCTCCCTATGGCAAAGAGAGATAAGCTGGTGGGTGGGTCACAGAGAGAATGACAGAGCATTTTATGTTTACATTAAAAAATAAGTGCTGCCCTTGACGTTAGTTCTTGGCTCTGTGCGATTTGGTAGCATACCCACACTTGGTGATTTCTGCACAGCTGCAGCAGTGTTGTTTCCAAGGGCAGAGCAACCACCCCACGGAGATCACGGCTGCTGGCTGAAGCAAACTCTGCAGAACCAACACGTGCCTTAGCTCCGGCAAGAGCTTGGCTCTGTGGCAGACACGCAGCAGGCGAAAGCAGGGACCGCTCCTGCCCCACACACAGCCCTGCAGCACTGCCCTGCGGCACCACTCACTCCCACGGCTGCCGGTTCTCCACCTGGGATGAGCTCCTCCTGCCAGGACCTTGGATATGAATGTGGCTGTGCTGGGCACAGTGGCCCAACCCTGGTCACTGGCTGCCTTAATGATGCCAAACGAGCACTAGAAAGTCCTATCCCTAACACACACTTAGCCTCAGCGGGGGGGGGATGGAGCAGTTAGAAACTTATTTGTATTGATTTTTGCATGTCACTGGAAATGCCATTACAGAATGTGACCGCAGTGTTTTACACCACCTCTGGGCCTGCCATATGATCTATTCTCTCTTGGTACAGGAGGCTGCTTTGAGCGTAGCTCCACGTTACGCCCTTTGTCTTTTTTTTTTTTTTTGGTCAGCACTTTAGAAGTTCTCTAAACCCAAGCACTGCCTATTTTATTTCATCCATCTTCTAATCATTTTGTGAGAAGGCACGAATGATCTGGTGTGCACTCCTGGAATGGTCTGCACTTCTCGGTAGCAGACAGCTTCCTCAGCATTTTCTACAGCGTATTTAGTAACATTAGGGCTACAGAGTGACTGCCTAGATCACTAGCCTGAGGGGCATAACGACTGTCCAATACCACCGATAACCTCTGTTTCCTTGCTAGTAATACCTTTTTCCTGCATATGATACACTGTGATAGACACAATCCTGAGTCACAGGCCCTGCACAGCTGATTTAGAGATGTGGCCTTTTACAGATGGCACCAAGAACCCTCTGTGCATAAAATTTGTAGGAAATTGTTTGTCTATCTGCTAAGCGGCCAAATACTGCAGAAATCCACCTGACTGCAGACACCCAGCCTTGGCCTCCTATGCCAGCAGCTCCTTTTTCCCACTTGGTTGTTAGTTACAAAGTTTATACTAGGTACAGGAACAAGTGTAGCAGGTGTTGCATTAAGTTAAAGGAATATTTACTTCCAGTGGCTTTCGGTTACCTCAATTCTACCAAGCCTGGTGTTTTACACAAACACCCAATATGGTTTCTGTAGCCTTAGGCAGTGGCTACACTCAAACAGATTCAAGACCCACAAAAAACAACACCCAGAACTGAATTTCCCCAAGCGCCAGCACGGGCCAGCAGTCAGTAACGTCCTGCACAAACGGGGCTCGTGCCCAGTCTGCTCCCAGAGAGCCGCTCCTGCCCCTGCCCCTGCCCCTGCATGGGGGCAGCAGTGAGGCTGAGTACTCGCCTGTGTCTTTGGGGAGACACCTGCAGAAAGCCGTGCGGGAGCAGAGGTGGCGCAGAAGCACTGCTGGGTACCTGCTGCCTCAGCGCATGCAGCTACAGGCAACGCTGTGAGCGGGGAAAAACAGGAAAGCTCCGTACAGCCCAACCAGACAGGTGAATCTGAGTGGAAGGTGGAGGAGAGACTCAGCGATTACAGGAACAGTCCTGCTTCCACTGACTGAAAATAAAATAGCGATTCTTGCAGCCAACCAAAACAGCAATTCTAGCAGCCACTGCCACCCCTCTGGCCATTGCCGATGCAATTGAGCATGACAAGCAAAGCACCCAGCCAAGCAGGCAACGGGCATCCTCAGCACAGCACGGCAAGCTACCAAGTCCTGCAGACGGCGAGGGAAACGGCACTCACCCACAACAGCCCAGTGTGCAGAACCATGAGGGGGCTGCCCCCACACGGACTGACGGACTTTTAAAACTTCTTCCTTAACAATCACAAAACCTTACTGCAACGGAAGACTATCGTGGCTACGTTATCATAGGTATTGCCCTGAAAGGGCCTTGGCCAAGATGCTGGTATGTCCTCAAGAAAGCATCGCCGAGGGACATCTAGTGGCAGCACTGATCTTTGCACGGGAGAGCTGCGGTTTCAGGTCCCACGTCCCGGAGAATTCCCCTGCCCCTCCTTGGTTTCAAACCGTTACTCCTGTCAACCAGCTTCAACCGTCTGCATCTCCTGCCCTTGCCACGATGCTTCTGCTCCTGCTTTGCCCTGGGATTTCTGCACCCTCTCTGGGCTCATTTATTCGTGTTCTCTTGTTAAAATCTAATCCCACAGCAGGACCTTGCAGCAGGTGACCCTCTCATCACAAATCATTTCCTCCGCTGAACGGTTATTCTGTTTTACTTTTAGGTAAACAGAGCTCTTTAGAGATGGGCTGCATATTTGCCCAGGTCAGTAAGTATTTGCATAGTGATGTACGAGAATAAAAGGAGATTAAAAGTAGTGATAAGTCATGTCTGAACAGCACTCTATAGGCAGCCTTCCTACTCAGGCCAAAAAAATAAATAAAAAAAAAATTAAAAAAGTACAGGAGAGACTGAGAAGAAATTGAGCTTTCCCTTTTCCTCTACTGTTTGCCTCAGTGTAAAAACCACAAACCATCATTTAGATTGAATTTTCTATGATTGAATTTTCCAGACCGCTCAATATCTTTTAATCTTTTAAAGCGGAATTGATAGATATCCAGGAATACATTCGAGGAAAATACCCGATTTATGCAATATAGCCAAGCACATCTTTTGTAATGGATTTTCTAAGAATCTATTTAAAGCATTCCTTAAGTACTATGTATAAAAAGAAGAGGGGAAATGCAAAGTTAAATGTTGAATTTTACCCCAACCTCCTACCATAATTCACTTCAGCCAATCATTAATCTTGGATCTTGCTGCCTGTCAGACTTCTGACATCACCATACACTAGCAAGGGGGCAATCATCCCTTTCATGTGCATCTCAGAAACCTCCTGCTGCAAAACATTCCCTAAACACCACGATATACTACAGAAAACAAACAAATTTATTTCAAATATTATTTTTTCTTTTTCTGAAAATAACAATGTCACACCATGTTTGTACATACAACAGAAAAGAAAACAAAGACCTGAAAGGGATTCTCAACACCCAAGAGAACTATACTGTGAGTAACGGTTTTCCAGGCAGAAAGTGCCTCTTGTTTCTCTCACATGACACTACAGGCAGGAGATCCACTAACTACTGGGATTAACAGTTTGCCTAGAAAATCTCAGCTTAAAGCCTAACCTCTACTCCACACCATCTCTCTAAGGTCCCTTCAAAGATTTTTCTACTAGAAAGGGGCAATAGTGAAAAAATAAACCTGCACAGACACTGAGGGGGAGAAAAACACTTAAGAAATCTAAAGTAAAAGATACAAAACACTAGGAACTGGAAGAGGGAGGGAAGAAAATTAAATGTTTACTTGATTAAGTCAATTAATTGGCTCAGTGTTAATGAGCATGTAAGGTGCAAGCAACCAGAACTGACTGATACAGAGGCAGCTCCTCCATAAGAGCAATTCTTAAAACAACAAGCACCCTGTATACACATGAGAAAGGAGTCACTCACTGACCACTGCTTGTGCCTCCTACCTGGGCCATGGGCAGGACAAGGGCGCCAGGTACAGCCTGAAGGCCTCAAGCTGGACCCCATGCTCCATCGCGTGGCTCTGAAGGCTCCCTCCGGCCCCCGGCTGGGCCTGCACATTGCTCACAGCACTCAGCTGAGGCTGGCAGCCTTGGGAAAGCAAACAGAATCCATCCTATGATATCAAGGCTGCCTCCAAAGCAGTTTTTGCATGGTCTTCTCACTTGGTTTGGGTTTATTGACATGCTCTTTTCCTCTGGAGCCTGGAAGAGCTTCAAAGTCTTTTCCAACCTTCCTCTCTGCAGAGCACACACACATCTACCACAGTGCAATTCCCTTTTCCATTCCCTAACAGATTTACACTTTTAAACATGATGCCTCACTGTAAACTGACCTTGGTGCTTTCATAAATGCACAGTTCGGTAAATAGCATAAGTACTTAGAAGTGGAAAGAGAAGGCGTCCGGAGGGAAGGCAGACGTGCGGGAGCTGGATCTCGTGAAGGCTGGGATAAAAGACGAGGCCGGCCGGCACGGAGCTCCTCCTGCCACAGCGCAGGCCCACGCGGCTCGAGGGACTCACGCGGCAGGTTCACCGCGCAGGGCTGGCGCGCGGCTGTTTGTAAATAAAAGGGTTTTTGGCTCCTTGGTATTTCACTGCTGTTACACAAATCACTTGGTATTGCTCTCATCTGCAATGACATTTCAGTTTTTCAAAGCCTGAGGCTTGAATTGGAGCATGAACGAGCCCCTGCCAATGGTTTGGATTAGATGGCCATTGCTTCCAGGCTATTTTCTGGCTGTTGTTCAGGTGTGGCCAGAATCACAAAAGAAGTTATTTTTATGACTAGGATACTAGAAATCTTACATGGGCACAGACTTTTGTTTGAGTTGTACTTTGTGTGTTCTTACCAGTTTATAAAATTCTATTCAAATCATGAGACTTTTAAGGACAAAACCTGTCCAAACTTGTTGAAAACATTACAGTGACATTTTAAGTAGGATCACTGGATTTGTGCAAGCTGTACAAGAGACACTGGTTTGAGATTTATGCTGTTTAGGACTATCCTAATAGCAGCTCAAGACTCCTGTAAATGTAAAATTAAACTCTGTTCCTGTTCAGCTTCAACCTGCTCAGACCTAGGGTAGACTTGGGAGTATTCGGCATCTACCCACACCACAAGGCTTGGTATTCCTCGGAGGCGTGGTGTGCAGGTCACCTGCCTTCCTCAAACAAGCCAGCATTCCTCATGGTCTAACTCCTGAGACGCCGCAGCAAATGCCAAACAAATGCAGTCAATACTGAGAATCTCCTGCAAGACACTTCCTTGCAAATTCAGTTGAGAAGGAGGAATTGATGAAAGAGCACAAGGATAAAGCACCATGAGGTAAAATACATTTCTCTAATGACATTTGGTTTCAACCTAACACAGACAGTGAAAAGTCCTCTTGAAATAAGGATCTATCTGTGAACTAAGGCAGCTTGCAAGAGCTGTGATCCAGTAAGACAGGATAAACACTATCAGACAATTTATATTCACAAATATGGGCCTGGAATTGTCTCATTTTCAGCTAGTTCCTGGTTCCACTGTGGCCTCAAATGAGCCCTACACATCTTACCTCTGTCTCTTTCTTTTCAAGGTATTACTTGCTTGCTGTAATTCACATATAGGGCTATGCTATATAAAGAATGAAGAACTGTTAAGAGCCAGTGGCGTTATGCCAGCTCACACCCCTGCACATTCGTTCCAGTCTTACTGTGGGTGTAAGATCATTTAGCCAATGAATGTTCGTGTGTGTCACTAACCCAATAAACCTGTAGCCACTGAGACATGAACACTATGTAGGGAGTGCTTCACACCCAGCAATCCATGATTAGTATTTGTTTTTACTAGAGCTTATGCTTTCATACTCCAGAATAACATGCCCCAGGCTGCTCAGGTAACTTGATTTTTGCTGTTGTTGCCCCACAGAGGGGCTTAAAAGGGGTAAACAAAAAAATGGGAGAGAATTACTTTCCGTTCTGCTGAATCCAAATGTGTATCCCCTTTGCAAACAGAAGGAGGGGCTGTTGTTTGGGGTTTACACTTCCCAGGATAAATGCTTACAGACATAGTATGTCCCATGCTGTTGCTTGTAACTGCCTTTCAAAATGTGAAGACAGTTGTGATATTTGGAATAGGTGAATGAGTTGAATAAGGTGAATAAGGTGAATGAGGTCTGCCTGCAGCAGATCTGGTACATCATTCAGGCTCCTCCACAAAACTTTGCCAGCACCCTAGGGAGTCCAGAAGGAAAGAAAGGATCCTATCCAGCACGCCAGATTTAGCAAAAAGTTATTTGGCCAGTTGAGAACTATCTTCTGAACTAGTGGTTTGCTACTGGCAATAGAAATGGGTAGCCAGCAATGCTCCTTGGCTAAGGGCTCCTTGGGGCTTCTCAGATATTTGGAAACACTCCAGTTCCAGTCTAAGCTCCATCTGGAAGCTGTTCCCAAAAGGTTACCGACCTTGGGCCCAGCTGGTAATGTATGAAGCAAATTTATTGCTTCCTTCTGAGGGGAAATCAGTATTCTGGGATTTTGACTCACCTAGAATTGAGTCGGAGGTTTGGTGGAGATGCTGATTACAGCTGGGTGCTGTTGAATGACGGGAAATGGTGCAATGAACTTCACCCAGGCCTTTGGAAGCCATGTGTGTAGGTTTCTTCCTGGGAGTTGTACAGAGTCTTAGTCCCAGATGTAGAGTGCATTTCTCACTGACGAACCAAGAGCCAAATGAAAATGGCATGTATGAGAGTGAGGAGGCTATGCCTGGGCAAGAATGTACTCTGCAGACTCCAGGGCCTTTTATTTTTTTCCCTTTTTTTTTTTTTAACCCATCTGTGAGCCTAGAAAATCAGACAAGACATCAGCAAAGCACCTAGTGGAAAAGAAGCAAATTGAAAATTGCTGTCCACCCTATCACTCCTGGGTAACTTGCTTTATAACAAAACCGGAGGCAGATAGGATGCAAATTATGACTTCCAGTTTCTATCCCTCCATAAGAGCTAGGTATAACTTCTTTGTATGTTAAGTTACTTAAAATAAGAGTGCCCAAAGCTATCAGTCTATTTGGAAGTAAAAGTAGCTGCTAACACACACTGATTTTCAGGAATGCTTGAGTTCCCCAAAATTTCAAATCAAGCTGTAGGTGTTCAGGATCTTGTGGAGGTGTGGGGGGGAAACCAGTCTGCTTTCATTTGATAAGTATATATATTCTTGGAAAACTGACCTCCAAAATGCTGGCTCACCTCTCATTTGACTTCTCTGAAACCTGTTTTCCTCCTCCGGATTATGTAAAAAATAATGATAGCTTTCTTTGAAAATTTGCCTAAATAATGCCATGTAAATACTAAATACAATTAATTACTGTCATCCTTACACATCAGAAATAGGCAAATCATTAATTTTACTGTTTCCAAAGGTTTTGGCATTTGAACCAAATTAATTTTGCAAAAGGACTGTATCAAAAATGCAAACACTTGCAGGTATCTACCTTGCTGAGTATAAGTCAGAGCCGTCGTCTCACTAAGATGAGCATTATCCATGAATAAGCCAGCCCCTTGGATTTCTTTGTATAACAGCGACACCCAAGCCTGAGCAAACAAGTGCAAGTCCGAGCCAGGCCACCTCAAAGGCCCAGTCCCCAGGGCAGCAAAGCACAGGGCTACCAGCGTGTTTACGGGGCAGGGCCCTGAGCGCACCTCCCTTGCCCGGGGCTTAGGCGCCTCTGCTCCAGTTGGGCTCTTGGGGCACGGCGGGAAACCCCGCTGTTGCTCACGCTGTTTTAGGAAGAGCTGTGAGAAGCTGGGCCCTGCCCTGCCTTTGCTCAAGAGCCGCATTCAAGCTGGGGGTCTTGGCACTGCGCGTGTCCTCGCGCCGCTTGTGCTGCTGCCTTGCTGCTTCGCTCCCGAGCCGCCTGGCGACCGCTGCCTCTGCCGGGCCGCTGGGCACCGGCCCCTGCCCTGCTCTCGGCGCAGGGCCGATGCTCCCGGCTGCGTGGCTCCCGCTCGCCTTCCCCGGGGAGAACTGGCCATGCTGCTTCCTGGCACGCAGCCTTCGCGGCAGGCCTGGTCCCTTCTTGTGACAGGATCAGAAAAGCAAGAAAAAGCTTTCCTAATTATTTTTGAACCCAGCCAAGCAAATGTATCTGACTGTTTTGAGTGAGCTTCAAACAAATGCCCATGATGACCTAGCTTAAAGTTTAACTGCAAATACAGGTGAAAATTTCTGTTTAGATGGGCAGCTTCACAGAAACTCTGCCTAGCTGATCCTCAGAGATGAACCAACTGTCAAGGAAATATGCACAGAAATCTCCTATAATCGAAAAGAGAGGATGCTAAGTGCTTTTAGCACATGTACAGGCCACCAGCCTCTCACTGCACAGAGCCAGCTGGAGCACTGCTAAGGGCTACAGGGCTTTGGTGTTAAAATTCCCAACTCATTAAGACATTCCCACTCAGTCTAGAAGAAACTTCTCTGCTACCTGTCTGTATACGTTCCTATGTTTATGCTAGGAGGAGTCCTATGTGTTGCACGGGTACCAAGGCAACTGAACTTCCTAAATGCATATATTAGAGAATAAAACTGCTGCTGGAATGTGCGACTTTGCAGGAAAGGTGCAAATGGATTTGAATTCTTCAGATAAACCACTGCAAGTTGTGATCTGAGTATCACTGGGATAAACAGCAGTTCATGGGTGGCTTTGCGTGTGTATGTAGAAATGAAAACAGAGCAGACTTGAGATCCACTCACTGCCTTTACTGGTTTTACTGGGAGTGCTGACAGCAAGGAGAAAGTGTTCTTCTGGAGACAAAATCTACTCTCAGGACATCTAGCAGAGATTGTAACTGGAGGCCAGGACAAATAGAGACTTCTATACTATTGAATTTACCTTAGATTTCTGATACATGCTTTAGCAGCCAGTCCTTAGGGCTACTGCATGTACACTCTCTGCTAAGTCAGGTGAGAACCTTACTCTGCACATCTTATGGGTGGGAATCAAAGAGATAAGAGTTGAAGTCTCCTTAGACAG